CGTCGGTGGCCGAGGGCCTGCAAGCCGCTTGTCGTTGCAATTTGACCAGGCACATGAATTCTTTCACATAAGCCCTGTAATTCGGCCTCTGCATTATGACAACATGAACCAGTAGATATTTCGGCAAAATACTGGTACGCTCAGAGACGTTGTCACTGTAATGAATTGTGATGTCGCCAAATCAGAGCTCGAGTACTTCGAGACATCTCTCAACCCAAGACTTGCATCTCGCGAGTTCGAGGAGCCCGCAACGAAGCGTGTTCCTGAACAACTGAAGTCCTCTACTGTTTGCATTGATCCAACAAGTTTCCTGGACGGTGATGAGATGCACAATCAGACAAAAAGATATCACAAGACTTGAAACTCTGGAAGGCAGAAATGCTGTATTATATCTAGGGTATCTTGCACACGGCCACCACAATCCCTCTTGGCCTTTCTTATACACCGCTCCACTTCCCAAACTTGGTATACCTCCTGTACATCTCCCTCAAAATCGCTCTTCCGCTAGCATCCATGGCATCGTTCAAAATCTTCCTCACCTCGATCGGCGTAATATCAAACACGGAGTTCATACCCGGCTCAAGCGCCTCGCGGACATCCCTCGGGACATCCACGTCAAGCTGCATCTTGACATACGCCATGAGTACGAGGTACATGTGTCGGCCGGCAGACCTCTTGGCCGCATCGGTTGCGGAGTCGAGGGCGCTGAGGTGCTGCACGCGCGACACGGCGGCGGCGGCAGGCTCGCAGACCAAGGTGACCAGGCGGGTGAACTGCGCGGCGTGCTTCGCGCGGACGGCTGCGGAGGTCTGTTGGCGGGACAGGGCTCCAAGAAGGGCTTCCAGGGTTGAGACAAGAATGTGGTAGTGGCCCTCGAGACGGAGGCGGTGCTTCTTGATAATCACCTCCATCAGTTTGCAAAGCCACTGGTAGACGCTGGGCGAGGCGTCGAGGAGGTTGGCCGGGTCGGTGGCGACGATGACGGCTGTGGTGCTGAGGGTGGTCTCAATGTTCCACTGCGTCATTGAGTTGGACTTGATGTCGAGCAGCTGCTGGAGGACTTCGGCTGTTCTGACGAATTCGCGGACGGTCTTGGCCTTGGTGAGGTATCTGATCAAAGAGCCGTGTGCGGTTGCCGGATCGAATGTCTTGGACTTCTCAAGGCCGGTTGGTGCTTCTGTGTTGCGTGTTAGCCTGAGATTGGCGACTGTGGTAGGATGCGACTTACCCGTCATCTGAGCGATGACACGGCGAATAGCCAGGAGCTGGCCTTCTGTTGATGCACCGGCCTTGGTAGCAGAGTCTTCCTTCATGCCTTCGAGGAGGCTTTGGATGTAAATAAGCTTCTCGTTGTAATCAAGTCCAGCAACTACAGCGTCAATACAATCCTGCAGAATAGCTTGGCGGTTGAAGTCGGACAGCGGATCAGGAGCCGGTCCACTGGGGAGGGGTGTAGCAACGGCGCTGCTGAAGAGCTCGTTGAACGAGATTGGGCGAGGGTCGGCAAGTTGCGATGGGAAACGTTTAATGAGGAAGGATCGCAGCTTCCAGCCGCTCAGGTGCCCGTTTGCGACGGCCTGCTGGCTTGCCTCTTCCAATTGGGACACCTTGACTTTCATTTGTCCGAAGGCAGCGTCAGGCAAAGTTTCGGCAGCGTCCAGAGCAATTAACAATCGGTTGACTACAGTCTTATCGACCTTCTGTTTGCGAGATGCCTTCGCAAAGTCGCCCAGGGCTTGTTGTACCCTGTTAGCAAGTGCAGAGGCAGTCTTGTCGACGTCGATGACAGCCGTCTTTTCCTTCGCACCAGCATCAGGTAACACCACAGACAGGAGGGCCTTGAGGAGAGTCATCTGAGCAAAGGACTCGCCACTGGCAACATCCCCCAGTAGACTGGAAATTTTCTCGAAATATTGCACACGGTACTCTTGATGGTCGTTCATCTGTCGAACAGTCGCCGTTGACAGACTGCCAAGAAGCAGGGACAACCCAACAGCCACCTTTGAGTTGTTCTCAGAGCAGGCTGTCGAGATCGAGGCAGCAATCTTTTGGAGATCTGAGAATGCCATGTCCTTGTAAAACGTCGGTTTCCTCATGATCTTGTTGACCAGCCCAAGAACCAAACTTGAATGCTCCGGGCTTATGCTTTTGACGGCTTGGATCTTGTGAATCAAGATTTCCATAATGCGCTCCCGCTGTTGTCTCGTCAACGCTTCATCGGGCACCCTTGAGAGCTCAACCATAGCCGTCCTGCTTCGCTTCTCAGTCCAGGGAGACGACTTTCCAGAAACCTGCGCGATAATTTCGATAGTGTGGTCAACGACTCCAGCCGTCAGCTTTCGGTCGCGTAGGTTATTCTCATTCGAGAAGACAGAATCCAGCACGTTTCCGAGCCGCGATTCGCTGTCGTTCTTGTCGCCAAGAAGCTTTTGTAGGTACTCTGGCATGGAACCAGATGACTTTGAGAGCAGCGAAACAAGTCTGGACGCAGCCAGCGGGTACTCGGCGCAGAACTTGGACGCATTGGAGGTGTCTGAAGCCAAAGAATCCCGCGATTCCAGCAGCTCTTTCACATCATCGAGCTTCACCTTCTTCAACAACCTCTCCACGAACGATGTGAGGAGCGAAGCGAGATCAGCCTGGTCACGGCCATCGGGGTACATGGCTAACCAGAACTCATACGCACACTCCAGAGCCTCGCAAGCATCCTCGTCCTCGAACTTGGCCTTTTGCAGTGCCTTCGTCAGATCGGCGCGAACGCTGTCCCAAAGCTTGGTCGCTCCTTCGTAGTCCACCCACGACACTGTCTTTGCGATGATCCTCCACCGCAAAGAGCGGATATCTGAAGGAACCTTGCCAGATGACCATACTTTAAGGGTCAAATCTGACAGTTGCGTGCCAATCGCATCAGCGTAATCATCGTTGGTTACAGCGCTGGCAATTGTGTTAAGGAAGATGAGCACTGCTGCGGGTCGAAGAGTCTCTTGGGTCTCAACCCATTCCAGGAGGCTCGTCAATTGCTTCGTAGTCAACGATTTCTCGATGCCGCCGATGAGGGTAGGGCTACGGTGGACTCGAGTAAACCAGACAGGCCTATCTTCGGAACGCAGAGCCTTATCCTCAAATTTGGAAAGCTGGTCGAACCACTTCTTCAGGAAGGTGGATAAATCACGGGCGCTTTCGAAGCCAGTGATCAGCGACGCAATCAGCTCGTTCATGGACACCTCGCTTGCCTCAGCGCCAGCAACAGTAATTCTCTCGCAAACTTGATCAAAGAGCTCCATTCCCTCCTCGGATTGCAGGAAAACATCCGCGTCGCATTTAGCGATGAGAGAAAGGAGTGTCCAGTCGGTTTCGCTGGGGCTGCCAGTTATGGCATAATTACTGCACGCCATACGCAGGTCGTCCAAGGCAATACGGGCCTTGTGTTCGATCGCTTCTTCCAAAATCGATGTCATAACGCGCGCCTTTTCGCTGTTGGATAGTTGTCTGTTTGCACGCTCAGACAATCTGAACACCTCTTGCATCCAGGCGTCATTGGCTTTGGATGTGGTGAGTCCCCCAACAACCTGCGGCGCGGCCGAGGCCAAGCTGTAAATTACAGGCACCGAAACGGAAGCGATACTTTGCAACATGCCGAAGGCGCGGGTGACAATCTCGAGGTCGGTTTTGTTGAAGTATGCTGATCTCGCAGGAAGAATGAGGTTGCGCTGCAGGAACTTCTCCAGCTCGCGCGTCCAAAACTTGGCCACTGCATCGCCCACAGCAGCGCCCTGCTTGAGTCTACCCAGCATGGAGAATGAGGCACGGGAGAAGTGTGTGGCTACCTCAAGCGCATCGGCGCTTCCCTGAAGATGCAGGTCCCATGCAGAAGAGAAGACCTTGACCCAGGACTCCTGGCCCTCGAACTGTTCGCCATCAGCGACCGCCAGCGATTGGTTGCAGAGCGACAGCAGAGGCGACAGGTATTCAACAGCATCGGCCGCAGGTTGCGCGAAAAGCGCCTTGATGTGCTCCGCCCCCATCCTGTCGTGCGCAGACCATTGCGCCGCCGGATCCAGTCGCGCCAGGAGTATCTTCAAAGCACTGAAAATAGCCTCGCCAGTCGCCAGACAGCCATCGCTAGATTTCAGACTCTGCAATTCAAACTTTGCAGCGCCGGCTCTTTTCCTCTTCTTCGAGTCTGTTGTGTCGGCCTCGGTGCTAGGCTTTGCGACATCCTTCAGCGTTTGCTGAAGAACGGCCATAAACTTTCGATCGGCGAGGGATTTTGCGAGAGAGAAGAGAGGTATTCTCTGGAACGAGCAGCCGAGGATGCGCCACGTCAAAGGGAATCGTCGGACAGTCTCTGCTTCGTCGTTGTTCGTCTTCATCGTCTTAAGGAGCCATCGCAGAACGCTCTCCTCGGCAGCGGAGAACTGGCTCTGACCGGAGGATGTGAGCTGCTTCCACAGCCGATCGAGGTTTTCGCCATTGGCGCCGGGGCCAGTTTGATCGAGAGATCGCACAGTCTTAACCAAGTCCCTGTCTGCCGTCTTTGGATTGTCAGTACGTCAGAATGCACAGTTGGTCGATATTGGACTTACAATGGTTTCTGACGACCTGTCAGGACTCGCATCGGTCATTTCGACATCCATGGCGACCGTGCGACAGAAAAGGAACCCGGCAGACGTATGTTGTCTCTAAACAGGTAAATGTTTAAGTCGGCATCAACTCCCCGCGATGTTTGGCTTGAGCTTTCCCAAAATTTCGGGATTCTGCCGCCCCACCCAATCGCATCCAGTCACCGAATCTCACCGAGGCCTCACCGCCCTCGGGTGTTCAACATCAATTTGCCGGGTCTCTCCGAAAACATCATTTGGATCAAATCCACAGTTGAAGCTCCAAACCCGGACACCCACCAGTGCGTATCTAGTCAATTGCGTGAGTGTCGACGCCCAAAGCTGCAGCAGGCCGCATTGACGCTGACCAACATCTTTCCAGGGCTACCGACGACGACCATGGCTGAGAAATCCGTTCCCCCTCCCCCGAGCGCTGTCGCGCGACCCGTCAGTGAGGCACTTCTCAACGAGAAGGTTAGCTAGCTCCCCACTTCTAGATACACCAGAGGATTCGGCTGTTTCTGACATTTTGTTCTTGTAGTGGGACCACTGCCTGTCCAACCTCCTCGTCAAGTCCACCCTCGGCCTCGGCTTCGGCGTCGTCTTCTCAGTCCTCCTGTTCAAGCGCAGAGCGTGGCCTGCGTTCATCGGTGTTGGTTTCGGAGCTGGACGTGCGTACGAGGAGTGCAACTCTAGCCTGAAGCAGGCTGCCAGGGAGATCAGGAAGCAGGCATAGATCATGCCTTGGACCACCGTCGAAACGAGACAGACCGGAAGAACGGAGGCGAACTTTCGAACGACCGGAACGACACACGCTGTACAAAACCAACTACGTCACACGAGCACGTGAAGCTCGCCGGGGAAAGCCAGGAGCCGGCGCGTGCCCCCGTCGAGATCACCCTTTTTGGAGTCGGCATTGCTAGATTAGGACGGGGAAGAGCGATGGGAATAGAGCCATTTTCTTTGTTTGTCTACTCTGTTCGTGCCATGCTGCTTGCGTACTGCTACCCCACGAGGTCGAAAGTGGAGGGCGTTCTGAAAATTTCTGTTCCTGGCTGTTCTCACCGTTCTGCCTTCAAAAGGAATAGGGAGATGTGCGGTGTTCAACAAAGCCCTGGTATGTGTTCCAAGGAGCAACCGTTATCCGTCTCCGCCAAGGCGATGACCGAACCCAGTCGTCCCGACCAGAATTCTGACCGCTGCCTATACACCTGTATATCAGTACCACCGATGTGTCTTTCGAATTTTAAAGGTGTGATTGCTCGTAGGAAGGGATTTCACTGTCCTAGGGATCAAGATGCTCTCGAAGTCCACTGAAGAATGGTGATGTAGCATGTGATCGATGGATCCTAGTACATCCCCAAGATATGTCTCTTTCGTTCTCCCTTAAGAACAGCAGAGTCAGTGGAACTGGAAGCTCGCTGCCGCATCCTGCATTCCTTTCGCCTGGACAAGATGAGGTAGAGAGCGACAGTGATAGATGTGGCCAAAGCTATGCTGACGAGGACAAGAGCAGCAATTTTCCAGCCTGATATGCCCTGACTGGGACCAATTCCTCCTTCGTCAACCTCCCGGCTTTGATGTAGACCATCGATGGCGGCGCCTGTGGCGAGATGGACGATTTTCGTGCTAACGGGGCGGGGGGCGTGACCGCCGCCTTGGTGAAGATGTGGTCTTGTTGTTAGATTGACCCCGGGATGGGTATCGTTGGCGAGAGCCAGCTTGAGGGTTACAGATGTCATGGCCACATAAAACTATGTTCCAAAATGATACTTCGTTTCCAGGATTTAGGTAAAGACGTGTAGGATTGTTGAAAATTGTAGATGATCAGTGCTGAGAGTGATCGACGGAATTGCGAAATGCTTGCTGCTTCCCAATCATCATTGTGAACTTTATCGAAGCTCAGTCGCTCTTTCTGCGTTGAACAAGACGAAGTCTGCAAACGCAGGAAACTATGACCAGCAAGGTAGGCTCGCCCTCAATGACACAAGACACCCTCCGGGTACTCTTGGCAATGGCACTTGCATGGGTAATTCGTCTTTCAGGAGGCACTGACTGGCAGAGACTTCAATTGAAAGCTTTTGGATTTCTGCTACCAACCTCATCTTGGTCATTTTCAGGAACGCACTCGAGCAGCAAATGCAATCCACACGTTTCGTCACTTAGAGCAGGTCAGCGCCGAATTCCACACTCAGTGATCATTCGATCTTTGTTGACAAACAAAATCTTTTGTAGTGCCGTTCATAAACACTCCAAAACTCGGTATGATCAATTGGCTGCATCATTTTTACCGGCCTCATTGCGGGTTGTCGAGACTCGCGGTTGATCAGACCCTAGCAAGCCGGGGCAGCTCGGCGATTGCAGCGTCTCCGATCTGAAGTACTCCACAGATCCGAACAACCGGCTCCGACAACCTCAATAACCGAGCCAACAATCTTTCAGATCTGGTCAAACATGCAAATACCTTGGTTCTTAGCGGAGATTCCGTTGCCCGGATAGAAGCCATTGAAACGGTAACGTGTAAGCTCGATCACAGATCTTTGTGTATCTTGCACACCGGCCAATGGGCAAACCAGCCGCACCGCCGCCAGAGCTTCATATATGAGTTGAAATCCGTAAACAACGATTGGACAACAGACATCCTTCGAGCTCCCCCAGAGCTGACTAATTTCCCCCGAACTGCCCCCCAATGCCAACTGCCGCCACCTACCGCCCACCACCTTTTACATCATAAGCTGTGCTACACCCGGTAGGTAGCCGGAGCTGCCACCCTCTGTCTGCAGGTCAAATTTCTCCAAACCCGGCCCTCCACCTGCGACTTCAACGAGCGCATCCGACACCCCCCGAATACGCAGCAAATATGGCAACATCACTGCGCTGCCTCCACGCGCCTTCGAGCGCAAACGCTTTTGTGCAGCTTGCGCGCCGCTCGGTGCCGACGCCGACGACGGCTAGCGCCCCGATTCTCTCGGTTCTGATTCCGAGGTGGAATACCGCCACCGACACCACGACAAATTACCCCGTCGGGGCGAGGAAGCACAGTACCGAAACTCTTTCAAGGACAAGGCCGACGCCACAGAATCTTGCGAGGAGAAACGCGGCAACAAAGCACCAACAGATCCGCAAGTTTACGGCTTCGGCGACGAGGCGGCAGACGAGATGTGTCTATAACCCGCAAAACGACGAGGACGGGAAGGAGATGGTGCTTGAGATCACAGACAGGGCGGGCAAGGTATGTCCTTTGGTTTTGCCTCGTTGCGAGGCTTGCTGAGTCCTGCGTGGCAATGGCTAACACAAGCTCTCACAGCGTCTGGCCGACATCATGAAGAAGGACAACAACCCGAACCTCGCGCTCAGGATACAAGTAGAGAGCGGCGGCTGCCACGGCTTCCAGTACCTCATGAGCCTAGTGACCCTCCCGGGGACCGAGAACATGGAGGATTGGTCAAAGGTCGTTGGAGAGGAGGATACGGTATTCCAGTACCTTCCCGAGGGCGCGGACCCTTCGGCAGCGACATTTGGGGGACCAAAGGTGGTGATTGACGAGCCGTCCTTGGATCTGTTGAAGGGAAGCAAGGTGGATTTCACGATGGAACTCATCGGCTCCCAGTTCAAGATCACGGATAACCCATACGCCACGAGCAGTTGCGGATGCGGGACGAGCTTCGACATCAAGATTTGAGGCATGAGTCAGCAGGGGGACCTGTACTACCTACGTACTAATATCAAGAGGGGGACATGAGTGTACACTACGGGGTTATGGTGGGTAGAGAGCGAAAACTTTGGGTATGCAGGCTCAACGAGCCTCGAGAAAATTCCAGACTCACTACTTTTCACATATTAGACACACGAAACACTACTCTCTTCAGAAGAGGCTTGCATTGCTACTCATAGGGAATGAAGAACCCAGGTGTCGTCAAATGATCAATTCACAAGTTTCCCTTTTGTGGTTATCAACGCCGTGCAACCATGCCAATCATAAAAGTAACCCTTGGTATTCTCAACCCTGCCGAAGCCCGAGTAAAACTAAGACAAACCCGTCTTGTCACATTGCCAGATCCCCGAATTTTTGATTCAATTAACCCATAACCCTAAGACAAACAAATAACTTAGTTCATCTGGCGGATAAGAGCGTTGATCTTCTCCTCGCGGTTGCCAAGGTCACCACCCTCGATGTAGTGCTTGAACTTGCGGGGGCGGAAGCCACCAGTGGGGTTGGAGAGCTTGAAGGGCCACAGGAAGTTGGAGGCCTGCTTGAAGTTGGGGCCGACGGAGTAGATCTCGTGGATGAGGTCCTCCATGCAGACAATGCCGTACTTGCCGAGGTTCTCCTCGATGATGGCGTTGTCGGTAAGAGCAACACGCTGCTTGTTGACCTTTCCGTAACCGCGCTTGTAGACGAGGTCCTTGACGGACTTGAGGTTGGGGTATCCGTAAGCAACCCAGGGCTCGATGACCTTGATCATCTCGGTGGTGGCCTTGGTGACCTTGATGAAGACACCGTTGTTGATCTGGAGGAGACGGAGGAGCTGGAGGATCTTGCGGGGCTTGGGGGGCATCTTGTTGATACCCTTGATGCGGATGAGGAAGATCAGGGTAGCCTCGGCGGGAACGTAGGCGGAGTCGTTCTCGCGAGCGACGCGGGAGAGGCGGACCTTCTCACGCTCGGCATCGCGGTACTCCGTGATGTACTTCTCAGCACGCTTGAAGATGACACCGCGCTTCTCCTTGTTGGCCTTTGAGAGAACATGTTAGCAACTGTTGCAAGACAGGATGGTGTTCTCAAAATGAAGCGTTGAATCCGATAAGTGTCAGACCCGAAAGAAGGTTAATTTCCAACAGCATCGACCGTAGTCTAGTCGTGAAGGTTTGTTGTGCATCATGTAGGAAGGGGTAATGGAAGAAATTGCGGCGAAGGCACTTACAGTCTTCTTCTTCTCGGCGGCGGCGTTGCGCTCGGCGCGAGCCTTCTCCTGAGACTTGCGCTTCTTGAGAAGGGTCTCGGGGACCAGGACCTGGTTAGAGGTGGGGACGGAACTGTTGATGCAACTCAGATTAGTACGCAGTCCGACATACTGCATGCAGCATGGAAGAGAGCGCCGGTGCGAGAACTGTAGCTGAAGCGCGACATTCTCACTATGGCTAACTCGAAAGATGACTTTGATCGGTGAGACGAGGAGCGCGGGAGGGTGCTTGTGCTCTTGTTACAGAGGCTGACAGCACACCTCCGGAGCGCAAGCCTTTTGCTCATCCGACAACACCTCGAACATGGACATGTTCAAGAAGGAGTGCGCGCAGATGCTTGTGTGCAACCAGACAGACTTTTCAGCGCTGCCCAGTAGACCCCATCATGCGGCAATGATTTTCAGGGAGAACGAATGACCGTTCATCCCCAACACCCCAGACAACATCTCTCAATCCGCAAGCCATGTTCCAGGTCATGAAGGAAGGAGGGAGAGGCCCGGGAGGGTTCGAGCTGACGAGACCCAGAGACTTCACGACGAGGTGAAGCTCATGTTCTCCAGCGAGAGGACCACGACAATCTGCAAGACATCCAACAACACCAGGCACGCCCTCGAAAGGGGAGAGTGCTGCGTTCAGGGGCAATGGTGAACGTACGTAGCGGCGGCCATTGTGAAGGCGGGTTAGTATTTGTCGGCGGGTGTCGTCGAAAATTTGGTCGCTGGTCGGAAAAGAAGAGAGAGAGGGGAGAGAGACGGGATCACGAAGATTTTGAGCAGATTCTCCAATTGCAAAAACTGGGACCCGCCGCCAAACGCAGGGGCCACTTTCACAAAAATTTCACCCTACACCGCTGAAGGGCTGCTCGCTTAGGTAGGGTTTTCCATAGCGCTAAGCCCGTTGCAGCGTTCTGCCGGCCGACACCGTCCAGCCCCGGTCAGGGCAGAACCGTCCACTTTTCGAGCGCCGAACGTGAAATTTCCTTTGGTTGCGCGCATCGAGAGGAAAAAGAGCTTCTACCATTCCCGACTAACCACCACCGAAGCAATTCGCCAACACAGCAGTCACGATGCCTCCCAAGAAGACCACCCGCCCTGCCCAGGAGAACATCTCCCTCGGACCCCAGGTCCGCGAGGGTAAGTCGTGAACTTTCCACTGCTTCAATGCCTGCAGGCACCGCGGCGTCATAATTGCAAAAAGAGTGAAGACTGACCTGGTACCCCGCCAACAGGTGAGCTCGTCTTCGGTGTTGCCCGCATCTTCGCCTCCTTCAACGACACCTTCGTCCACGTCACCGATCTCTCGTAGGTCTCTCCCGCAAAGAAAGAAGTCAGTTGCGCGCTGTCGCAGAGCCGGGGAGGATTCCGAATTTCCCACGAAGCTCGCGCGCCGCACAACTGATGGAAACAATGTCCCAAGAAGTACTGGTGGTTCCAGATGGCTAACGTTCTGGGTGATTCCAGTGGCCGTGAGACCATCTGCCGTGTCACTGGTGGCATGAAGGTCAAGGCCGACCGTGACGAGTCCTCCCCCTACGCCGCCATGTTGGCTGCCCAGGACGTCGCTACCCGCTGCAAGGAGCTCGGCATCACCGCCCTCCACATCAAGATCCGTGCCACCGGTGGTAAGTTGCCCTCCTAAGCCTTGCCTTGCATCAAGTTCTGATCGTTCCGTCTTCCAGGTAACGGCACCAAGACCCCCGGCCCCGGTGCCCAGTCTGCCCTCCGTGCCCTGGCCCGTTCCGGCATGAAGATCGGCCGCATTGAGGACGTTACCCCCACGCCCTCCGACTCTACCCGCAGAAAGGGTGGTCGCCGTGGTCGCCGTCTCTGAGCGCCCGGTTGCTATCAATCGTCTGGGTGGCTCTGGGGCAGGAGTGCTCATTATTTGGTTTCTGGGTGGCATCGCGAAAAACGCGGGGAACGGCTTCTTAGCCTGGTCCCCATTCTACGCACTGTGACATGCCTTCTGCTGCGGGCGACAGTATCTATCGTAGACAGAATAGAAACTCGCCATAAATGGCCTGAACTGAAGAGTAGCTCCTGAACCCTACCTGAGTCTGTGCAACATTACTGCGCTATTACCAAAGTGAGACGTGAAGATTGTGCAAGATGCCGGTGTCTTGCTATACGGCGTCGGCCTTGATCTCTTGACGAATATCTAGTCTAGCTAAGCTCTGATTTGTGTCTACCACGCTGACCCCAACTCCTGCTCAAAATGCAATCGACCCAAGTTTGCCCCTTTCTGGCGGCATAATCAAAGTATCTACTTATTCCCTTAGAATCCCGGCTTGAGCGACCACATACCCCTGCCAGTGCTGGCTGTGCCTTTCTTGCTCAGGGTGGCGATCTTGTCGAGCGCAGACTTGAATTCGTCTGATTGTTTCGCCGTCTGACAATACGGGTTGAAGTGATCTACCAACATCTTGCTGGGGACCTTGCCTCCGTGGCGCTTGATGAAGCTCTGGATTAGAAGAATAAAGTCCTTCTGCTTCAAGTTGCTGTTTGGTTTGCTCAGTCCCTGTCGATCGGCTAGGTTGTTCATCACGCCAGATGAACTAGGTCCTCCCCGTCGGCGATGGGCGCCAGGACGGCCTCCGTCACCAACTTCACCAGTCCAGGTGACAGTCCCGATGGGAACGTTTCTTGCTTCCTCGCCGGCTCGGCGGAGATGAGCTGCAGCCTGGGCGGCCACCTTTCTGGCCTCGTGCTCGTTCATCGCGCTGTCGGCCTGCACCGACTTCTTGCCGTTCATGATCTGATCGTGCTCGTAAGCGCTCTCCACGGACCGAGCAAAGAGGTTCTCTGTCATGCGCTTCTCATCATGAACCTCCTTCTCTTCGTGGTACTCCTCCATTGCCACAACTCCAGATAGCTTTCGGACGGTGTTGACTTCCGCGTCATCCGCCTTGCCTACAGAGGAGATGGGCATGGCATCCTTGGATGGTTTGTCGTGCTGTACTTGAGCCTCTTCTTTGTTGAACTTGACCTCTGCTCCCTGGAAGATCTTGCTTCTGTCGGCGCTTGCCATGCTATGGCCGGCGTCGCCAAAACTGAAGAGGTCGTAGAGGTCAGATAAGTCAAAGTTGGCACGCTGTTTGGGATCCTTCAAGACCTTGTTGGTCATGAACTGCTTGAAAATTTGTCGGTGGTAGATCTTCTCCTCGATGGTTCCCGATGTCATCAACCGGTAGATAGCAACTGCCTTTGTTTGACCTAGTCGCCAAGCCCTCTCACGAGCCTGCATGTCGGTGGAGGGATTCCAGTCGGGATCGTAAATGATGATGCGTGTTGCGCCCGTAAGATTGATACCCAAGCCTCCCGTCCTTGTCGTCAATAGGAAAACATCGATGGATGGATCGTGGTTGAAGCGGTCAATCAAGGCCTGGCGCTGCTCGATGGGCGTGTCACCGTCCATGCGAACGTAGCTCACGCCGTCCATTCTGCGGATGAACTTCTCAAGAATGTTGAGCATCAACTTGGTCTGGGAGAACAACAGCGTTTTATGTCCGAAACGCTTCCACATTGGCAAAAGCTCGTTCACCATCTGCATCTTGCCTGACTTTGCCGGGTCGCCCCAGTCATACTTCGCATCCCTCTTCAGACGATCATCAAGTAGGTCCGGATGGTTGCAGATCTTCCGCAGAATGTCGATCCCGTAGAGAGCCTTCCGTTTCCTCGTCATGATCTCGCCAACCGCGTCAGAGCTTATAAACCTAGTGTACGCCGTGAGCTGAGATTGAGTCAGCTTGCAGAATAAGACCTGCTCTGTCTTCTCTGGAAGATCCGATGCTACGTCAATCTTGAGACGCTGCAAAAGGTACTGGCTGATGGTTTCCTTCAAGGTTGTGGCGCATTTTTCAGCTGTTATGACCTGAAGGTTGGTTGCGTTCGCATAGCCGCCCTGTTTGATGGGGAGCTCGAACTGCGTCCGGAAGCTCACCAGCGTGCCTAGGCGCATTGGGAAGATGAAGTCGAAGAGAGACCAGAGTTCAGTCAGGTTGTTCTGGATTGGGGTGCCGGAGAGAATGACTCTGTTCACGGTATTCAGGTGCTTGCATGCAACAGTGATTTCAGCGTTAGGGTTTCTGATCTTGTGGCCTTCATCAAGGATCGCATAGCCCCATGAGTGCTGCAGAAGCTCTTCGTTGTAGGATTGCAGACCGGCGTATGTGGTTACGAGCACGTGACCGTGCTTGACAACCCGATTGACGATTCTCCGGGCAGCGACACGATTGGTACTTTCCCCACCATCATCCAGATCAGAATCATCCTCATGTTGATTCATCATGCCGCTTCCTGAAGAGTGCAAGATGGAGACTCTCAGTGGAGGCCACCATCGGTGAAACTCGTTTACCCACTGCTTCATAACAGTTGCAGGAACAACCACGATGACGGGCTTGTCAAGCTTCTTGCTGTAGTGTAGAGCTGCTACCATGGCAATTGCTTGGACTTTCAAAGGATTAGCAGCGAGATCTTGTCACAGTGCCATTCCATAGCTTACCTGTCTTGCCCAAGCCCATCTCATCGCCGATGATGCCGCCTACGCCTTGTTCGTAAAGCTCCGCGAGCCAGTGAACTCCAGTCTTCTGGTATGCAAATAGAGATGGGTGTATGTCGCCTGGCAACTTCAAGCCGTTACCGAAGACATGGTCAGGATGGTCAGGCGACGGCTTGAACCATTCTTCATCATCATCTTCGACCAGCTCAACCCCATCAGCTTCGGCGCGTCGCCGCCGGGCTCTGCTTCGCCTCTTCACCCAATCTGCTAGTCGTGATTTGTAATTGGACTCATTGCCATCGTCGACGCCGGCCAAGTCGACCTTTCCATCATCGGCCGCAGCACCTGTAGCCTTCTTCTTTGAGGGGCCTTTTCGTCGCTTGCGGCCAGTAGCCTCCTCTTCGCTCGTGTCAGAAGCATACTGGCTCTCTGCCTCCGATACAGCGGCAGCCTCTGGCTCAAATTCCTCATCCGAGGCCTCTTGCTTCACCTTGCGCTTCTTTCTTGGCCGAAGGGAGAATTCATTCTCAACAGCTGCTGGAGCAGTTGGCGCTTCGGGCTCTTCGGCAAAGCCCGGCATACGCAGAACCTGGTGGGACTTTGGCTCTTCGTCATCGCTTTGAAAGTCGTTCTCCGCTGCATCCTCTTCAGCTTCCGCAAGAGCGTCTGCAAGCTCGCCTTCGAAGCCAGGGGGTCGATCACCGCCAATATTCGCGAAGGGCGTGATCTTGCCGGTACGGACTAGATACTCGCGATTCGTCTCTCCAGGGAGTCTTCTAGACTTGGTCTTGGACGATTCGTCTACTGCCGCTGCAGCTTCTTCGCGCCTCCTCTCTATGCGGGCCTGAAAATCGGAAATGTCGTTGTTCACATCCTCAATCTCTTTGTCGAGCTTGTCGATTTGGGTCTGGATCTTCCGAGATTTGTATGGGTTGCGACGCTCTTTATCAAGATTCTGGCGCTCCTTCGCTCTTTGATTCTGAAGCTTTTCTCTTGTGGTCTCGAGCTTTTCAATACGCTGATGGTCCCTCTTTTCGTCGGCTTCCATCAATGCGGCATTTGCCTGTGCCGTGATGTCTCGTTCCAGATCATCCTGATCTCTGATATCGGCAGTAATGTTCCGGAGAAAACTGGCCTCGTCGACTTCTTCCTTCATCTCCGATGTTGCCGGAAGGTCATGAGAAGCGTTATCACCAATACTGTTGCCCTCTTCGCCGGCCAGTCCGCTGCTCGAGACGACATCCTCATTTTCGGGAGCCATGTTGAGCGTCAACGGCCTTCAAAGCATGCAACGTGTTCTCGGTGAATGTGTCGACAACGAGATCCCTTGTTGCTATCAGGCGAAAGATGTATCAGAGGCAGGCGCATTCGCGATGGGAATATCTAGGAGCAGGCGCGAAGCCCGGATAGCTGCTGGCTGTCGAGGCGCTGTTGGGCAAAGCCGACGCGATGGACTTGTCTGATGGAAATCACCTGCCCTCCTGAGTGAGTTGCTCAATGCAGCCTGCAAGAGCGAGCCTGGCGCGTCGCTTCAGTAACTCTCATCGATCTTTCACAAAAAACCGATGACGCCACGGCAAGGCAGAAGCGAACTGGGCGCGTTGTCATGTGAGCAAGGATCTTAATTGCCCAAAGGCAGGTTTGATTGGCTCATCGGAGTTAGATCGGCATCCTTGCCCGAGCGACAGGTAGCCACATCCGTCGCAGTTTTCTCTAAGCTCAAGCCACACTATTAGGTCAGCAGGTATTGAAGCACAGTAGGAATTCGTCTTTCTATGACAGCCGTTTCTACTGTACATCAGACAGACCCGCATCTTCCTCCATCCATCGTCGACTACGCCATACCATCTGTTCCCGCCGGACTTTATTCACGACTCTCCCACCAGAGTCCTTCAGATTTCAATCGGCCGGCCGTTGCAAAAACACCTCCCCGGTCATGATAGGCGGGAGAGTCTCAACGCGTCTGCTCTTCACAGCTCCTTGGGCAGCCTCACGGTCCTTTTCCAGAGCCCTGCACAATACTCCAAGAATGGTCCCCGGATGGCTCCAGACACTTCTGAGCACAAACAAGAGTGCGCCAAAGCTCTATGCCTGGAGACCGTCTGATATAGAGGATCCGACCCTCTCTGAAAATCAGGCTAAGATCGCAAGCTCTGAGCTTGTTCGTCAGGCCGACGAGTCACAGATCTACGTTCTTGGTGTGGGAAATCTCGGCGTCCTTTTTGCTACTTCGCTTGCATCGCTGCCAAACCCACCTGCTATCACGCTCGTTTTGCACAGAACGGAACTTCTGCTCTCCTGGCAACAGGAACCGGGCCTCGAAATCACCAGAGGCGGTGTGTTCCACAAGCATTCAGGATTCGACGTCGAGTTGTGGTCCGAAGAACCACCGCCAGGTCGTCAACCTCGCGAAGTTGCCAATGGCCAGAAAATTCGCAATCTCATCGTTACCACTAAGGCGGCTCAAGCTCTACCGGAAGTTGATCGCGTCCGTCGTTATCTCAATAGCGACTCCACGGTGGCTTTCGTCCAAAACGGCATGTGCAAGATGTGGCCACCGCACGGAACTACCTACAACTCGGAGCGTTATTCGCAGGGCCAGCCAACCCAACACCCCAACTGGCTGGCTTGCGTGACAACGCATGGTGTTACTTCCGCAGGCCGCTTTAGAAGCGTGCACGCGTCCGAGGCGGATGTCAAGGTTGGCCCAGTCCTCTTGAGTACCAAGTCTCCCGAAAGCGCGACCTATCTCTCTGATGCTCTGGTTCGAGCACCACATCTCAATGGAACTTCTGTTGCACGACATGATCTTTGGATCCTTCAACTGGAGAAGCTGGTGGTCAATTCCATCATCAATCCGCTCACCGCCATCCTCCGTTGCAAGAATGGAAAGCTGTTCGCGGAAGAGGGTAACATTGTCGCACAATTAATGGACAGATTGCTACAAGAAGCAAGCGGGGTACTCCGAGCTCTGGTTGCCGACAGCATCGCCACTTCGATTTTGCAAGCGACGCCCAATGGGGACCACGTATCAAGAGACACAACAGTTTCCCCCGAGGACCTCGCGAAGCGCTTCTCTCATGCTCGACTCAAGGGGATGCTCTACGAAGTCGGTCACAAAGTCAGGGAGAATACGAGTTCAATGCTGCAAGACGTTCGAGCTGGAAAGCAGACCGAAATCGACGAGTTCAACGGCTGGCTTGTCGAAACGGCAGCATACCTGGGAGACAATTTGGATGTCACCAGTCACAAGATCCTGATCGATCTTGTGAAGAAAGGTGTCATTCTGGACACGGATTCGCTCAGTTCTCATTTCCCCCATTTGTGAGCCCTTGTGCTATTTAGTGCCTGAGGAAACTCTCGACACTGGCTTCGCAAATCGCAGCTCAAACCGCACCCCCTATTCTGGCTCCAGCCAAGGTGTGCCACGACGTTTCTTCATATCCACAGGGCTCCCGTTGATCTTAACCCGCCCCCTTATGGTGTCTATCAAGACCCGCACTCTTTTGAATCCAGGCATGACCATGCTGTTGAGCACTGGCTGCGACTCAGGGGAAGTCGATCGTGGCCTCCCAGCGATGGTCTTGCCGCCTTCTTCTACGGATGGAGGGTTCAGGTTCGGTAGGGTTCAGGGACAGGGTGTCTGCAGAATGGCCACTCCATGAGCGGGGTGACTTTGTGCTTCTGAGCCGGTCGAGTGCTCACGAGCGATCTCAGGAGCAAAAGCGTTGCCCCGCCTTACTCTGCGAGCCGCCGCCTCTGCTCCCAGCCTCATGGCATTCCCGTTGCTCTAACGTGGCCGTTTCTCATCCACAGGCCTATCATGACCAGCTGTCTTAGTCTTTGCAACCTTCACGGGAGGTGCTGGTTCAGGTGAGGGAGATTTTCCTCATTCGCCACGTTCGCTTACCTCCCGCCCCTTAACGGACCACGTTATAGTCACCATATTGCACTTGATATACCGGTATAACACCTTCAACTATTACACCAACAGCACAAGTACCTTTGAAATTCACCGGAATACTTGGGCCGGCAACTTGATTCCTGAAAAAGCGCCTCGTTTCCCACAGATTGACACCCGCCGCTTACCCAATGTCGATGACAACGGCGACGGAGCTTTACTGACAGAGAAACTGTGCGAGCTACCACACGTCGCTATATGTACAAATGTTGCCATTTTGGAGGCATTGGAATTATTTCCGTTGGCTCTCATCACACATTTGTGTTTAATGGAAAACATCGGTCTTTTCCTTAATGGCTCTCGGCTTGTACTTGACAGAACAGAATCGATGGAGTCGGGACAAATCGAACAGCTAGTCCAGCATCAATGAAATACCGAAATGAATCGAAGCGGTCGGCCGTCGGCTTTTTCATCTCAAACACGCGGACTATGCATTGATATCTGTGCATATCAAACTTCATATTCGGCCCCAAGATGTGGAGCTCTAGCAGCAGGCCATCGGTTCGAAAACCACTGGCAGCTCGATCTGAAGACGCCCTGGATCTGGAAGCCATCTTGCTCATAATCACGCCATTCGTCTTATAGCGGCGCGGCCTTGGACCTTGTGCAAGGTCCAAGGAGCTTGCTTCTTCAACTGATACATGACAGACATGCGAATGACAGGTCGTTTAGGAAACAATCAATTACAAGCAGGGGACATTGACAACAAGATCACAACCAAGGGTCACACCTCCGCGTCTTGATGTTTCTGTGGTTGCATTTATAAGTCACTCTCCAGGAAAACTTATCAGCGAAGCACAAGACAGTGTTGTGGAGAGACCAGCGGAGTCGCCAACGACAACTGCGATCCAATTTCATCAATTTGAATGGATCCAAGTTGTCTTACTGCGTCAATTTTCCGATTGGCCGGCAGGGGTGAAAAAAAACTCCGGTGCATATTTGACGGAGATTTTTGGCGATGCCTGTCTGACGGGTTCTCATCAGCCCGATGTGGAGACGTCGAACAACTTCAATTTAGAAGACATCAGGGACGCTCTACGCATTACCGAAGTCCAAGGCACAACACCGCCAAATATCCCACAATAATTGAGAGCTCGTTTGCCATGATCCGGTTTCTTCGAGCAAATTTTTGTTGGCAAGCCAAGCCGTGGCCAAGGCCTGGGCCAGGTCAAGAAAAGGATGCTGTGTGGTTACATTGCAGAGCTGACCCGCATCGCGCCCACACGCAAGCGCCGCCGATGGGCAGGTCGTACGTTTTTCTAGCAACCAACAGTGCGCTCAAGTATTTTCAGGGAGTAAACATCCATCCTGCTCAACGGCCGAAGGCCTTCCGATCGGTTGCTGAAACCCTGAGTACACCCGGAGTCGGCTGGGTCTTAGGCTACAACCACGTCACTGAGCCGCTTGATCCAAGCTTTCCGGACTTGCGCACGGAGGAGTCGGCTGGTAAACCGCCCAGGCCATGGGTTCCCTGCCGTACGGATTTCGGGGTCCTGCCTTCGTCATGGCGCTCAACCGCAGCCGGCCGGGGTGTACAACGACTGCGGCGGCTGAGAGCTTCAAAATATTTGTGCGGTCGTCGTTGCCGTAAAATGTCGTATGGATTGGCACGCTCACAGCATTGCCTGGCCTGAACCATGGGGCGAAGCGGTGCAAATATGATGATAACGGTTCCTTGACCACTAAAACGGGACGATCCCTAGTCTGACGTCGGTCAAGCACCCCCCGGCTTCGCAACCGAGTCTCCTCACCGTCTGGCCCGGCAGTTCACACACAATGACCCATTATCAATCGCACACCATAGGTTTCACGTTTGGCGTATCATGCGAAGGCTTTTGCCAGTTCAGCATGAAGTTCGCGAACTACGTATTGACATTCGTCCGATCAGATTGCGAGCTGGTGAGGGGATCATTTCGCGCAGCTTCATGGGCCAGGAACAGAAAACGAAAAAAAGCTTTTCTCCCAATTTATTTCGAACTCCTCGCATGAGACAAACGGCGATTCCCGTACGTCACGTCCACCACTCCTCTGTTGACCCTCTTGTTTTGGCCTGCCTGATCTGCGCCATGCGACGCGTTTCTTGCGCCTCATCTTGTGGCTAAACGAGGTCACAGTCAACAAAGCTTATGCATCTAGATCGAAGGATACTCGACTTTGACTCTAGACCTTTTGAAGGGTCGAAGTTTCTGTACCGTGGTGCTGGAAAGACATCTTGTATGCTGGTCCCCCACATCCGGAAGGCGGCCTCCGGTTTGCACGTATCTTGAAGCTTAAACGCGATTTACTCAGAGTCCCGGCGTTGACAGTGAACACCACTACTGAAAAGGAGGGGGAGAGAGCATTTGGGTGGATGGATGGATGTTACCATGCGTTTATGGAGCCGAGTCCCGATGACTGAACCTACCACGGCTGGTCTTACCTCCTGAGGGCGCACTCTCGCACGCTCTCAGGTTCGAGCCCGGCGCCCCGATGCAGTGATCAGTATCACCTCGCATAGGGTAGCACGCGGGAACTTCTTTCAGCCAGGCTAACCCGTCATGTCACTGTCACCACAAGACGCGACTCACGACGCCCTCGCGTGCATGCACCGCATATCACAGCGATCTGCTTGTTGGGGAAACAGTAGAGGATGGCACCCTGTGGGAACCACGCGTATGACAACTTTTCCGAGTGGTTGACCGCTCCTTTTCTGCTGGCAAGCAGGCACAGGCTTTGGCCTTTCGGCGCAGGTGGCTGGGGTTTGCTCGCTGCCGCCGCCGCGCCCGGGAGATGACGGGCTAGGGGGGGATATATCAGAATCCCGGTGCCATATAACACGCCTGGGCCGAGTGTTTCAACAACGGGGAGCCGCTGCCAAATCGGCCTTCATGGATGGACGCAGAGAGAAAGAGGACAGGACAGACCTGCACGATGGACTTAATGGCGCGTTATCAACTGGATCCCCTCTTGTGCGGGAGATCCAGATCATACGTCGGTCATCGTATGGACGGGCACAACAAGGTGCCAGGAAAAGGGGGACTTTGGGCAACAGGATCGGTCACGCCCGACACGGCACATGCGGAGCAGACGCCCACACTACGAACAATTCTCAAGCTGCCTTCCCTGTTCCACGGAACAGGTTCAGCACTCGCTCCAGGCCTGTATGCTTGCTTTTGGGCTCTCACATACGGGTTGCCTGCCCCGAGAGCCTGAGAGACAGAGCAACACTGTGCCGAGAAAGTAAAATACAGAGCCCCGAGTGCCATGCTATCTGCTGCCTCGCTCTCGCCGCTCTGCGCGACTCCCGGGGTTGGGCGTTCAGTATCCATTCCTCTCTCAAACGGCCCCTCCCCTTTTGCTGGGCCGGTGGGCGATGACTAGGCCCCCCTTTCAACAATTACTCGGCAACTTTCTTTGGCATTTCAAACAAGCGCAAGCCTCGCGCCAGAGATAGAGTGCGAGGAAACAAAAATATAGAAAACCCGCCGATGTCAAAAAAGAGATCTGGCATGCGCGTCTCGCCTTGCGATGGGCGTGTGAAACGCGGGCGGAGGCGCAATCAATCACAGACAAACGACCTCGCCTATCCCGCTTTAGCAACAAGCGTCACCCGTCAGTCTGCGATAACACACCCCGGGCCTTGTTTAGTTCCCCGGACTTTTTTTGACGTCTACCGTCGACGCAGAAGCGCACCTACATGACATGCCCGCCATTCCGCTCGCTCGCCAAGCCACACCTGCCACGTCCGCGCTAAGGTCAGGGGAAAAGAACTGTCGTAGGAGAGAGCGGACGGTCTCCTTTCCTGCGGACGACTTTACCGTTACCTATCTCGGCAGTTTGTGCTGATTTGGGTAGTAATTGCTAGGAGGGGCCCGTTGCTTTTACAAGCCGCCTCAACTACCTACCAACCTACATAATCGCCTTCCTACAAGCAAAGCAAGACTTGCCGACCCGATGTGTAACACAGGCAGCGGGGCGGAAGAGGGCACCGGAATGCATGACTTGCGTTGCCAACACCTCTGTGCCGCAGTGCGCCATATGCATGTCCTCTATCTTGGTCACAAATCTGGATCGTGCTGTCATTTCTTTTTTTCTCCCCCCTCGTAAACTCGGAAGACGCATGCGAGGTTGTAATTCTCGCATTTCTGGGGGCCCTAACTCGAAATGACTCTAGCCTTGACGAACAGGATTCTGGGCCCAGAATACGCGGTACAATGCTACTTTTCGTCCACTTGGCGAGGCCGGCCACTCTCACCGTTGGACTGTAGCTTTTGATGTGGTTCCTCACGATTCAGGGCCCCATTTCGTTGCGGATGATCTTTGGTCTAGAAGGAAGACAATAGCGGTTCCGGTGCCCCCACCGATAATATGGGTTACGGTACCCCCGGTGGGAGGGGTTCGAGTTCTAGCTTCTTTAATGGCCGCACGCAAAAGAGAATTTCGTCGCGCCCGGACGCGCGGATCATAGAAGCCGGACCCGTAAGAACGTACTTGTTAATATCACGATCCCTATTACAGCCCTGCCTGCCCGTCGAAAACGGGTTGGACCGACACATTAGCTTGCCGTTGGTTTGTTTCACGGACTGGTAGGGCTGCCCGTCTCGTCGGTATTCGGCGATGATTTACACAAAATGAGGCCATATACAACCCGCAGATCCACGTGGTCCATGGAAGCTAGAGCTGTTGCAAAGATTATTGAGCAAAGAAGTAGATTCGAAAAAAAAACCTGTTACGTAAACTACAAGATCTCGAAGAAAAAGAAGTGAACAGAAAATCAAAAAGGGGGGTAACATGTGGAAACAAATGATTGTGTGGTGAGAACGAATCGAAGAAACACAAAAGGGTGAAACAGAGAAAAAAGACGTCATCGTTGATGCTGAACCGCGCGTGTATGCAGAATGCTTCTCCCTCCCTTCCCCCCTTTTTTTTCCACCCACAAGACGCCACGCCATATTATGCGAAACCATCAACGCAGTCCCAATGGTGGGACGCACGCTGAAAGAATCTCCTGTATGGTGCAAGAAGAGGTATGTCGTCTGTCGAGAAAGCAAGTCGTGCGAAGGATGGGATGAACAAACAAAAAGGCCGTATATTGCATAGTTCGGTGTGTGTGCCCCCCCAAGTCTAATGTGTGTTGTGTCATGATTCGGAACCGTAAAAAAGAAGAAGTCGGTCGAAGGTGCGAATTCGAAGGGTAAAAAGGGTTGAATAAGGTAACCCGTGATGTCCGGGGGTATCTCTAGAATTAGGCGGAAGGGGAATCCAGCAAAAATGAAGCAAAAGGACTATGATTCCCTCGGCCGTGATCGAGGGGCAAGACATGCTGAAATCAAAGAGGCGATGTGCGGTTTGCGGTGTCAGGGCCTCCATCTCAGAGTAATGCTCGAAGGTCGGAGCTGGAGCAGGTCTTCGAACCCCTGCGTACTCTTTATTGTCGGTAGCCCAAGCTATTACAAGCAACGACGGCAGACTTATCGTAGACTCTCGCGTCCTCCCGACAGTCCGCGTGATTATCAGAGTGCGGTGTTCGGAGGAGTCGGTCTAAATGCTCTGGTTGGGCCATGTCGTTCCATGTCGCGTAATGGAGATCATCGCTGAAGGCAAGCTCCTCTTCATCACTGAAGCTGCTGCGTGTAGATGGTGTCTCCAGCCGGGGGCTCAGTTGCTCCCGGTGGAGACATTGAATGCTATAAAGGAGCACCCATACCACCCATCAACTCCTGGGCGCGCTCGCGGCAAGCGGCAGGGGTGAAGCCGGTCCCGACTTTGTTGGCCACAATGCGCCATTTCTCATTCTCGTAGTCTTGAAGTGCAGTGCGAAGCTTTTGGTCCTAAGCCAAAAGGAAGATTAGAATTCGTACTTGGGCATAGATTCGATGTCAACACAAGGGTAACATACCGTCTCGTCGGTCCATTGGGTTGTCTTAGCTTTCAGCTTCGTGCAGTAGCGCACTTGCAAGGTTCCAGATGATCGACCAGGGAAAAAGTCGGCGATTTGTTTCCAGGTAAGTGATTTGTTCTCCTTCAGGTCGATTAGAAGTTGGTCGTCTTCAGGCGTGAACTTGAGCTTCGGCCCTCGCGGTCTCGGTGCTGGAGCGGGCATGCCAGCTTGTCCTACCACGCTTGGAGCGCCGCCTCTGTCCCCGCCATCTCCATCGCGCCTCATTAGCTTAGAAGGGGGCCCTGTGTCAGGAAGTCGATGGTGGTGGTGCGTGGGAGGTTGTACTTGAACTCCTTGCCCGTAACCAGTTCCCAGTGGCGTCTGTTGCATGCTCTCGAGGTCAGTCTGCTCCAGATCCGGGATTCCAGGCACGGAAAGGTCGAGGTCATCAGGTCTGGGTCTCTTTGGGGCTCCGTGCGGCGCGTGGGACTGGGTGGGCGTTGTCATCGAGGGATACAGAGGAGCAACCACAGGACCCGGAGCACCATAATGAGGCGGGCCAAGATGTCTGGCATGCCCCATCTGGTGCGCTGGATCCATTAGTACCTGGTGGGAGTGGTGAGGATGGTGCTGCTGCATTCCCGGATGGTGGGAATGGTGGCTCGGGGACGGATCATGGAGCGTGGGCGTGTGTTGGGCGCCATGGTGAATGGAGCTCCTATGATGCTGCTGATGGGATGGCGTCGTGTCATAACCATGCTGCTGCTGACTCTGCTCGCCCGGATGCGACTCCTGTGCAGAGTAATCGACATTGTAGTCCCCTACTCGGTAGTTGCCCGCCAGTGTGCCTCCGATACATGGGTTCCGCCAGAGCGAACCGCTCTGGACGGTCGCCGGGCTCTGAAGTGAAAGAATTGGTTGAGCGAATGCCCTCTCGGGCGGCGTCGGGAGAGGGGAGGGTTGTTGGTGCGACGTTGCGGGGTCGCGAGCTGGGTGGAAGTCTCTCAAACTGCGATCCTGTGACAGCGCTATGGTGTCGCCGTGATGAGACCTCCCGTCCAAAGTCAACGAACATTCGTGCCCAGGCGGTGTGGAGAGAATGGTCGCGGTTGGGTGCGGAATCTCGGGAGAAGGGTATTGTGGAATTTTGAGAGATTGTTGGCGGTCGCCGGTGATTGCAGTGGTTGATGCTGGTGCTGATGCTGATGATGACGGAGACTGGAAGAGACAAGTCCCGAGTTGGTGGTGTTGCCGTCTTGTAGAATTAGTCTCCTCGTTGGTGGAGAGCTGTCTGACTGCACGGCCAGACGGATGGGTTCCCTTTGGCTGGCGTAAGGTGGGAAAAAATTATTAAGACGAAATAGAAGTCGAGGTAACCATGCTACCCTTTTTGAACTGGTTGTTGCCACGCGCTGTTTAAGCTCACGGGATCTTCCCTTGACTTATTATAAATCCCGTTGGCCCTGGACAGCTAATATAGTGATGAAGGGGTCAAAAAAGAGAAAGCGCGGGCGTGGGCAAGGGCTGCATTATATCGTCCGATGTGCCTTATCGAAAAGAGGAATAGAGGGCTGTGTGGGTTCCAGTCTGTCTGGTCCCGTCTGGGGGTCTGGTCGGTTGAGGCAAGGCAAGGCAAGGGAAGACAAGGGAAGGGGACCGGGCAAGAGAGGAGTCTTCTGAGTGACTGACTGAGTGCGAGGTAGGTAGGAGAACGAGGGACGGAGGGCCAAGGGTAGTAGGTATGGTATGCACAGGGTGTGAGGCAAAAGAAAAAGGGTACATCGACTACCGCCGCTTTTGTTCCCGAGTTAAAGCACATTGTAAGCGATTCGCCATGTGCGAGACGTATTCTGTTCCTGAGTAGGTTGCGGAGACTCAAGTTAACCTTGCCCAGTGATGACGGTAGCATAATTTGGGGATCTTATGCCATGGGTTTCGCTGCCGGATATAGAAGCAGGAGTGCCCCCGGCCGGCTCTGATGATGCAACGAGCGAGGGGTGGGCATGACAGCAGACAGCTTAGAACAGTTGACAGACAGGGTACCCGGGGGCCAGGTCTGAACAATTTCGTAACTCTAAGAAGCCCCCGGATAACTTCGATCAAATCCTGGAAGGAGGGCTAGGCGACCCAGACAGCAGAGAGGTCTGGAAAAACGCATGGAAGGAATCCAAACACCTTCAGTCGAATGAGGGATAGAAGCTGAAACGAGCCCTACCATGCGCTGGCTGGTTGGGAAGACCATGACAAGTGAAGTTCTGAGAAGAAGGCCGCCCATGTTGCTCGGTCCCCTGCTTCACTGAGGGGATGTGCACGATGAGAGGAGAGGAGACGAAAGGTCAGAAAAGAGAGAGGGAAAAAAACAGTACCAGGGGTGGCAGCTCTTGGCCCAAGGCAGTTGTGTGTGTGTGCGTATGTGCGGGAGCTTGAGTCCCTGGACCTCCTCCCCCCGGTCGGCCTTGACCAGGGTGTTTTCTTCGGGTGAGGACCAGCAGTGAACAGCGCAACCTGAACAACTCTGCCCATTCTGGCCAGTGCAGTGGAGCCGGTCGGGGGGCAAACAGCAGGTTTTGGGAAAGAAAAATGGCTGGGTGAGCGCTGAGAAGTCATGCCTTGGCCCTGAAGGGGGTATATCTGAAGCAGGGAGGGTATAGCAGAACCGTGAAGAGAAATCGCCGCTCTAGTATGCGATAGGGCCAGCAACACGGTAAGGTTGCAACAGCCACTCGTCCTAGTGGGCAGATTGCCGAGGGGTAAAAACCAGGGACTGCCGGGTGGGAAAGGAGAAGAAAAACCACGGCCGGCAGACAAGGCCGGGCCTTTTCGACGTCGAATGCTGGATCGACCCTGTGGTTTTCTCTGGCCCTGATCTCCAGTGCCGCCAGTTGGGGCTTGTGGCCTGCTTTCACCCCTCAGACTCCCGGCCAAAAACTCGGGAGCGACTCGGAAGACAACGTCAGTGGTCCCAGGAGGCATGCGACCCCGGTTGACACAAGATGAAGTCGACCGCAGCAGGGGGATTTGCGTTCCAAAGATGAGAAACGTCGTGACTCTTCGGTCTTCGCCTCCATGGCGAAGCATTCGAATCTGGCAGGTCAGGGCGCCAGATGGCCGTATGCAGAGCAACGACTTGAGGTGTACAACTGTGAATGAAATTGGCCGAGATGAAGATTGGCCGCGGCGCCACGGTTGAGGTTCTGCTTCGGCAATGCGGCGGCGGCGGCTGATAGAGGTAACCACGCCCACGCGGGTTGCGGCGCGCGCGCGTCGTCGTCAAGATGGGACGGAGGGGAGGGTCGACAAGACAAGACTAGTTAGCCTGTGGGGTAACACTTTTTTTGTGAAGAATTTTGGGAACTTGGGACGTGTGCGACTCGACGTCCAGGCCACACGATGGTGCCGTCGTCGAAACCATGGGATGATAGCCGTTCGCTCGACTTGACTATTCGTCTGTTTGCATGGGAAGCGCGCGCTGCCGCCGACCACGTGTGTTTGGCTGGCCCAACTCGACATATTCGTCGTTTCCACGGCCATGAGGGCATCCCAAGACCACTGCACAGCAACGTACACGCGTGCTCGCGCGGTTGCACCCACCCACCCGATGGAGCGCCAGCCGGGAATGTGGTGGGTGTAAGCAGATGCGGAAAAAAGAGAGAACCCCGGCTCTCGGCAATTAGGAGATTGTGCGACTCAATGCACATCCCGGGCTCTTGGTGCGTGAAGGTAACCAAGTCATCATACAAGCTGCTGGTGGTCGCCCAGGACTGCATCGGCGCCTGGGCAAAAGGTACCGCGAAGTACCGTGTAGTCGAGCCAAGGTCAACAACTGCTGGCAAGGAAGGTTGGCTCGTCTCGACGAGGAGAGGGCCGAGCCAGTAGCAGGGGCGCTTGGACGAGAGAGGGCTGGGACGAAAAGTCGAAGAGGAGGGCTGATGAGGTAGGTAGGGCACTCGGACGGAGCACGGCGGAGGGCTGCCGCAGAGCTGGCGGTTGTGGTGCGGTCGAGTGTCTGGCGGTACCGCAGTGGTTCCGTGTGGGTTGCTGGTGGGCGAGAAGCCGGGCGAGTTGACTTTGTCGAGACATGATGGATCATGGGAGGGGGGTAGTTTTGAAGCTGGAGCAGGGGTCAGACGGGTATCGCATGAAGGAAACGCGTTTCACGCATACCTGGCAATTAAAAGATCAGTTATGCGACCCAGGGATCCCGGGCAATCTTTCTAGAAGGAGTGGGACTCCATTCTAGCGTCTGATCACCTTATTTCTTCGTCGTCAACCTTGAGGCTTGGAAGGTCCTTTTTTGCATTTTGGGGGTCCTCTGGGTTCGGTGGAGGGTCTCAGCCGCGAATCGGAAGGCTGGGCAGTGGTCATATCGGTCGAGTCTGTGGGCACGGGGATGGTGATCAGACGCGGACGAGGGCTTGGAAGGGACGGAGTGGGTGACGACGCCGGCGACGATGATGATGGGTGATGATGATGATGGGGGCGGTTCTGCTGGATGATGGTGGTGGTGGTGGAGATTTGCGACTGCAGGGCAGATGACCAGACCGGACCACTAAAGACCGGATGGACGAGAAAGGCAGAGTTCGACCGAGACAAGATGCCAGGATTGTGGAAACGAGCGGACGAGGGAACGGACGGAGTAAGGTCGACGAGGCGTCCGAAGATGGTTGTGGTGGTGGTGATTATGATTGAACAAGGAGAGAGATTGCGAAATTTACGAGAATTGAGACAGAGAATGCAATGAATGCACGTCTAAATTGAAGCTGGTGTTGGTCTCGAAATTGGTTGCATACAGAGACGGAGACACGTTGTGAGGTGGTGTGTGTGAGTGTATGCGTGTGTCCCAGGTTACGATTTCGTCATGTCCAAGTCACTTTTGCGGCAACAAGATGTGGGAAGGTACCTTCTGCACCTACCTTCTTACCTCGCCCGGCCCTACCTAACCGTTACTTGGGACTTTGCAAAGAAGGTACGTAGGGGACTTGGGGACTTGAGGTGAGGTGGTGGTGGCCTCTGCGGCAGGTTCGGCTTCTTTCTCAAATCACGTCTGCTCGTAAAACTGCAATTGCGTTGGCGAGGATTGGAAACGTCCCGTCGTCAGGCAGGCGCGGACACAGTTCGCATTGAGAGCCAAGCCTCAGTCTGAAGACGAGGCAGGCACGTACCCGCGAGGGGGCCTTCCTTTCCTTCCTAACCTTACATAGTACAGTTAGTTACCTTACCCCAAATGCAGGTACCGCAATGGAAAGATCAGGAACAGGCAAGTGCGATGGGTTGACAGAAGATGGGTCCATCAGCACCGAGTGGAGGCAATCCACATCGCTCCGGCCTGCCAACAGCACTCAGCGAAACGGAAACAAGAGGTCCAGAGCCATGATCCACCAGCACCAGGTTCAGTGTTAGCGTTCACACTCAAAGCCCGTCCCCACAAACGGGTGGGCTGGGCCTTCCTCTTGTCGTAATTTTTTTCTCCTAGGCGCCGTCCTGCCTACGGAAACCCAGCATGCCGT